CTTCTTGCATCTGATTTCTCTGTCTCATGGGCATTTGATATTATTCCCAGGTGGCATTCACTCCTGTACAAAGATAAATGCAACCTATGGGTATAAACTGACCTTAAGTAATGCACTGACTTTGTACAGATGTTCAGCACAGGGGTTTAATTTTACCTTTTCTCCTTTAATCTATAGGATGGAAAATGTATGCCTGTTGTATGTTGGAATGTGACTGCACCCTATAAGGACATGTCTTGGATAGCCACTGTAGATAGATGCAAACAGTATTGAAAAAAAAAGTTTTAAAAGAGCATTTTAGCCTGAAGATGAGTCTCAAAAAGCAATGGCAAGGTTGGCAGTTAGGGCTGAATTTTCAAAAAACATTATCCTCTTAAATGTATGGAGTGGAAAAGTGGTAGAAAATAAAGAGGATAAAGAGTGACACAGCCAGGTACCTGGGGAAAAGGGACAGCGGTCACTTCCAGTTGCCACTGCACCACCAGCAGAATTGCATGGCTGTCAGTGGTAGCCAGTATTTTTTACCCCCCTTCCCCACTCCCTTCCAACATTGACAACCAGCACAGTTGCTCCAATTGCCCATCCCTAGTTATGCCACTGACACCTTATCTAGTATTTAGTGGATAAAAAGGATAGAAGCTTCTACTGTATTAGGAGCAAGGTTCCAGGACGTCCTCCCTTCCAGGGTAACAGCCATATCAGATATCGCTTAGTCACGTTCCCTCTACTTTCTCCTTTTCCACCTGGCCCCACATACCTCCCTCTTTTGGGTGCCCAGAGGGGCAGCTTCAAGAGGGTAGGATAGGGGACCACCTAATGTCTACACTGCAGCCTCATGGTTAGTGTACTATACAGGGAAGCAAGAGACACGCACCAAGCTGGGTAAGGAAGAAGTACTTTAGAAGAGAAGTTCAGGATTCAAAATTCATTAAATTTCAAATTAATTCAATAGCCTGGATAAAATTCAATAAGACCAAGTGCAAAGTACTATATTTAGGAAGGAACAATTACATTCACATATATGAATTTGGGACCTATTGACTAGGTTACAGTACTGCAGAAAAGGATCTGGGGGTTAAAGTGGGACTGCAGGCTGAGTAGGTGTCAACAGTATAATACTGTCACAAGAAAAGCCAATAACATGCTGAGACATAATGACAGGAATGTCACATAGCAATGTCACGTGTGGCATGGCAGGAGGTGTGGTTGTCTGGATCACATATTAGATCCAATCACACTTTTACCTGCACATATAGAGGGGCCTTAAAAATTTTACTCTTTGATTATTTCAATATGAGAAAATATACAGAATGAGAGTGGAGCTGAAATTCAACTCTAGTAGTAAGAGTAAGGTCTACAGTACTGGACTACATCCCCAGATGGAACGCAGGCAGATTGTAGCTGATGAAATCTTGTCCTCCTGCTTTTCATCAACTTGGGGCAACGTCCTACAAAGGAACTTTTTCAGGCTTCCATTTGACAGGAAGTCCTAGAAGCATCTCAGCGCTCATAAATCATCAAAACAAAAAAACAAAAAAAGGATAAAAAGAAAGAAAAGAAGGGAAGAGGCAGAGGCAGTGTATATAAAGAACACAAAGTTCAGCCCAGGTAAAGAAAGCATAAAGTTCCTGGATGTTACTGTATGCTAAAAGGGCTGTATGCAGCATTTCCGACAAACATGGCTTTGCCAGTATAAGAAGGAGCCAGTTTCCTCTTTCAGGCCATTCAGAACAAACAGTGAAGCATTTTGAAAATAACAACTTGTCAAGCTCTCAAGTATCAAAGCTCTAAAAGAGTCAGAATTCTCACTGTGGCCATAAACCTGAATTTTAGCTACCAAGGGAAGGAAAGCTGACTAAAATCTTACTCACTATGACATTGCTTTTGTATTCAGAGATATGAAAGGTGAAGACCATCTTTTAAGAGCAGCTGCCTTTTTTAACTGTGTATACCAATAGCCATATGTAGTGAAACTGGGAAGACCTATGAATACACTGCAGGACAGGAGCACAATTCAGAAAGATCTCAATAGATCTGAAAGCTGGGATGGAAACAACAGGATGAAATTCAAGTAACAGAAAGGCTACTTGTGTAATGCTCCCTGCTTATAAATGCAAGGTTGCTACACATTGGGAAGAATGATCAAAAATACAAACACAAAATGTGTGACTCCTGGAGGGATGGCAGTACTACAGAGAAGGATCTGTGAGTCCTGGTAGATCACATACGCAACGTGAGTCTGCACAAAGGCAAGAACTAATTATCATGTCAAGGACATGCTACTAAATGAGTGTGCCCACACTTGCATATTTTGATTATTATTTTTTTCATAATTCAATGACTGCTATTACCTGAGGGCCATGGTGGGGCACTCCAGTGTCCAGAAGATTTGGATTCTGCTCAGACAGGTTTAGTTCATGATTGAATGAAATTTATTTTACCAGGCAGCAAAATTCACTAGTGGCAATCTGAGGAAAATGTATGTGGGGCTGGATAGTGGGAACAATGTTGTATCATTTCCAGTCTTGTTAATTTACTGACAGATCTAATGGCTCAGTGGCAAAAAAAATCCACCTCTTCCCTGATGATTTTAACCTTTGTTTTGTAGCTGGTGTCCTACCCCTTACTGTTTGCCTGTGGAATAGAATAGACAGTATTATGGGACTTTTTATTTGCTGCTTGATACCAGAAGCAGCTACATCTCACCCTTCTCTTTTATAACCCATCGTGGAACCACTATATCACAGTATGCTGCAGCAAACTCTACCTCCCCCACCTATCTTAGAGCACAACCTTCATGCCTCTTCTCAGGAATAATTGGTACTGTAACAGTCTTTATCCCACCTACTCTGCCAGAAGAATAAGTCGGAAATGTGTCATTTGCAGGAACACCCTGAGCAGAGAAACCCTTCTTTCCCAGAATACTGACTTAAAATCCGGGTGTTTCTGAGACCTGACAACAGTCTGTGGCAGTGTCTGTTCTTCAAAGGACTCTTCCCTTTACTTAACTTGTGCCAAAAGGTACATCCAGATGACCATGCACATGCAGAGTGCAGCACCGCAGACCTGTCTGTGGCACCACACACTGCCCTTGCAGGCATTCCCTGTGCTGCTAATTTGCAGCATAGTGGGGGACGGCTGACGTTGAGAGAGCCTGGTGTCAAAAAAAACCAAACCTAAAAAAAGTGGGGCTGGGCCAGTTTCATGAAGGCAAAATCCAGCCTGGCCCAATGTGCAGCCCCTACAAGCAGTGCCAGGACCCTGGGTGACAAGGGTCTGCCCGATGTGATACAGGCAGCACCCAGTGCCTGGGTGGATGATACAGGCAGCACTGGGTACCAGATGGCTAAGGCCATGCCACGCTGCGCTGTGTGGGGGTTCAGCCAGGAGGACCCTGAGCACCCCAATGGCCGCTGTAGCTGCAGGGGGGCTCTGGGCTGCATGGGGGGTGCACATTGCAGTACCTTGCACTGCCCAAAACTGAAGCCTGGCTGCTGAGGCCACGGTCCAGCTTCTGGCCAGGCTCCCTTCTGCTGGATTGCCACAGCTGCAAGCTCCAGAGCACCGCAATCCCCAGGGGAAGGCTGCTGGGGCCAGCCCAGGTGCTGGCTCCAGCCTCCTCTGCCCCACCCAAGGCAGCACGCCACACTCCAGAGCATGTGCATGGGCATTCCCTGGAGTCAAGTAGTAGTAGCACAAATTGTGCTGCTGCTCTTTGTCCCTGGGGAAATGCACATTCCAGCTCATGCAGACTTGCCTAAAGATGCTAGTGTTTTTCCACACCATGGGTTCATTAATGTGCTGTAATTATGTCGCATTGAGTTCAGTACCTGTAATAACAGGTAGTAACTTAATGTGCCATAATTGGCAATACTGCGCATTAGTGCAGATGAATGCTTTTTAGGTCATGTTAATGAGCATTAGCACAGTTTTTGCCCACTGTACTAATGTGCAGTAGAGTTAGTCATGTAGACACACCCAGTGAATAAAAATACCTTTTCCCTCTTCAAACATGCATTCAGAGAACAGAAACAATGTCATGTGCTTTAAATGACCAATCACATGGCTTGAATTTCAAATTCTGTGTATTAAATTCGCAGTAGTACTTCATGATACATCCATAGGCTGAAATGAATTTGTATGATATATTCACTGAATAAATATGAATAACAAAAACAAACCTGGAAAAAACAAAGGCACCATCTGCTCAGGGACATTCAACAAACAGAAAAAAAATGGGCTGAATTCAACCAAAGCTGTTGTAACAAATAATTCATACAGCTCTGCAGTGGGGAGCGCTAAGCAGCCCTTTGTTCTGCTCTCAGATCTAACTTGTGTGCTACTCTGCCAATGTGAGTCCTGTTTTTTGTCTCTATGTACCTGGGAATTTGCTGAAACAGAACTTATTAAAAAAATACTAATGAGAATTCAGTTTTGACCACAGTAAACATATGGCATTGCTCACGGGCTGCAAAGTTTTTTTCAGCAAATTAAACAACACTGGGAATGGATTGGGTTTATTCCCTTCCCATTCCATTTGTGTAATGTCCCCTGGTCCATGCCAGAGAGGTAATTTTTCTCCCTGTGAAAATGAGAATCTCTCTTGGGAGACAGTGAATCCTGCATAATCAAGGCTAGTATTCATGTTTCTGTGGCTAAGTATGCAGACTGTCAAAAAGCCTCAGGCTGAATTAATTCAATCTTCACAGATGAGTCTAAACTGCGCAGATTGAACCAATAAGCAAATGAACAGATACTCACTTTTGATTCTGGAAATGAAGTCACATGCCTGCAGTGGTTCAGACCAGAAGACAGGGGGTGCTAGAGCACACCTCCCTGCTCAATTTGCAAGGCTACCCTTCCCATTCTGTGAGAGGGGGCTTGCAGGGGAGGTGTAAAGCATCTTGGGATGCTGGGGAACTGTGAGTTAACTTGAATCTGGAGGAGATCTGGGACAGAAGTTCAAAAAACTGATTGAACCTAAATCAGTTAATTCTGATACTACATCCTTCCAGATTTATCTTAAACCAGTTTCAGCCATTTTGAAAGCAGTTTTTGTGCCCTGAATTTCTATTGTATTATAGATTTGAAATGGTTTCCTATCACTTATACTGGTTTATGTGTAATTTCTGTTCCTAACCTATATGTTAAGTCCCCTGAACATCAATGTGTCTAGATCAAGCACTTCACACCAGATTTATCCTGGCCCCGTGGCTGAACCTAATGCAGGATTGGGGGAAAGTAGCTTTTACCCTTTTTGTTTGGGAACTGTCTGGGTGCCACTTCTGTTCCTTGTGTAATGTGGGTAAAGTGCATTGGTTTTCAAAACTGAAGGGCCATGAAAGACAACAGTATTTGTTAGCCATTATTGTTTGACCCTGCTGCCATGAATAGGAATGGCAAAATTCATATTGGTTTGAATGGAGAGAGAACAAGTTCTTGGAAATCTACTACATTATCTTCAGGATGTGTTGATAGAAAAGTGGGTATCTTTAAGAATATATAGGATCCTTCAGAAATAGTAGCCACTTCTTGCCAGCTATGAAACAGTAATCAGCGGTATGGAATAATGTCATCTTTACAGAACTGTTTCTGAATAGCTGCAAACCACAATGATCCCAGGAGCATGATTTGTCTTAAGATTCTATTTCATTATTATGAAAGGTTTATGGCAAATGAAAACAGCAACCCATTGATGATGCCAAAGTCAGGTCACTGGTTTCACAGCCACATTGAACTGAAAGCCCAATTAGTCCTATCTATAGAGAAAGATTGTTGCTTCAGGTCACATAACACCCAATGAGAGACGTCAAGTGCTGAAATGAAGTACTTAGTGACATCAGTGAGAAAAAAGAAGGTACAAATTCACATTAGGAGGTAGCAGACCTTTGAATTTGGGTCTTTCTTTAAATGAGTAAAACAGTGAATTCATTAGGAGTACCTAGGGTTCAGCTTCAGTCCCTGCATATGTGAATGTCAGTTTTTTCCCATGCTGCTTTCTAATCAGACTATAGCTAGACTTCTTTCTTGAATGTGAAAAATGAAAAAGCTCAAATACCCACTGGGCTCAAGGAGCCACATTAGCTTACAAGGATCTTTTACAGGATATTATCTGTGCTTGGATAGGGTTATTTGATGTTTTATTTTTGGCTGGTTGAGCAGATTGATACCTTCAGGTCTTGCAGTGTTGTGGTTTTGTTTTTATTTATTTTTTTCTTTCTGGAGATGGTGATGAAAGGGGCTGTCAGTGTTATGCCGCCTTGCTTCTTACGGCACAGCTTTATAACGGAGGACCATTCTGCTGAGTTCCATCAGCTTCAGCAGCGGGTTCCTGTCACCTCACAGACGATGCTAAATTCCTTATAAAATTGTGCCCCAAAAGCCATTAGGATCCTGTCCTGCTCCTGTTGAAGTTACTGATGGTAGTGCTTTGTGACAGTAGACCTGGACCCTTACTTAGTTCCCATCACTCCCCAGTGATAGGGTGGTTTCTCAATGTGTCTCCAGGGGTGTGAAGCAAAATAAAATGCTTGAACTCTTTCAAATTCAAGTCTTGCTACTATAAACCTGATCTGAGAAGGAAGCTGTCTTGAGAAGAAAACGATGTTTCACTATTCAAAGGTTTCACTATACAGAAGCAGCAGAATAAACACTCATTTTAGGAGTCTGATGTTCTTCACCACAGAAAAAGTAAATGGGGGGAAGGGAAAAATCAAGCCCTAAAAAGAATTTAATAGCAACACTTCCAAGAGGGAACAGAACATTTTGCTGCTCATAAGGGAAAAAAAGTTCTCAAAATTTAATTTGACCTTTAAGTATCTTTGAACAATATTATTATGCATAATTCTTCATCCTCTGCTACCCTTTTTATTTCAGCAACTGCTTGCTCTTGACAGAGTACATTCTTTTTCCAGAGAAGTCTCTACAGCTTGAAATTTCAGTGGTATATTAACATTTACAGAAAGTTTCTTATCATTATTGTAATGAAAGCTTGAATGCCAGAATCTGAACAGGATTAATTAATTAATATTTGCAAAATGCTTTGAAGATGAAAAGCCCTACATGAGAGAAGATCATTATGATTTCAGTTTCTTGGTTTTGATCAAAACCAAAGTTTGATTCTATGGATTTTCAAATTAAGCTAGAGCTATGTAGTATCCAAAGATGCCTCAGTTTAGGAAACCACTTAAACATGCACATGAGTTCCAGTCCATTCAGGTTACAGCTTGTGCACATGTATAAATGCTTCCCTGAACTAGGGCCATTTTTGGTACAACAGAGCCACAACTTGAAGAACTGTACCTCATATGCCAAAAAATCAGTAGGATATTACCCATCATGATAGCCCTTTATTATTAGTCCCACTGATTCGTGTTTTGTTTCAGAACAGAAGTTTAAGTTCCAGTCATAGTCTATAAGGCTGTAACAGGCACTGGGAGGTGAGTATTCCCACTGGTGGGACCCCAACATTGAATATTTTGCCATAAGAGATCAGACTAAGCACAAGCTTGATGCTTTATCTCTACAGAAGCTATAAACCTTTTCAAGAAGTCTTTTCTTTAGGCTTTTTATTTATTCTGAGACTTGGTAATAACAATTCCATAGACAGTAATATTGTCTGTCACATAGCTTTCAGAAAACTCCTTACCCCTTTGGCCTTGACTGAGAAGATAAAAATCTAAGAGGCAAGGATTTCTTAGGATTTTATTGGACCAACTATGTAGTTGGGTTAGTTGGACAAGCTGTTGAATGTAAGACATTCTTCCTCAGGTCCATTTGAAAGCTAGTCTAACTTTATCCCAACTACATAGTTGGTTTAATAAAAGATATCACCTAAGAACTCCTTGCCTCTCACATAATTTCTGGATCATCATGACTATAATATTGCTCTTAAGCTAAGGTATAAATCTGGCATCCTGAAGCAGCTCTTCTTTTGCACTCCTGTTACAGTCTAGAGGAGCTGTGCAGTTCCCCATGTTTTACACATCTTGCACCTATGCTATTCTGACATTTGGGGAAAAGGAGGGAGTAATCCTAACCAGTGATGGCCTTTAACCTGCTCAGCTAAGTGTAACAATCCTGCTGAGCACATTGCTCTGTTAGTCATGTCACGGCAAGGGAAAAAAGAGACAGAGACAACATGATCTGGATTAGTTGGGGGTCCCCTCACAGCAATGCTTGCTCAGAACTGCTTCAGCCTTGTTTGGTCTTGAAGAGTGCCCCATCCTGTAGCCAAACTAGTTGTGACTTACAGAGCAGGGAGGAGCCCTGGTTTCTTTCCACTCTGGGATCCTGGCATTTTCGTCCCTCACCCTTCCTCCTTTTCTTTGGCCCTGACCCAGGAGCTAGCATTCAGTTCAGCTCCTAAGAGATGGGATTTACCTCCTGTTGAGGCGACCCAGCACAACCCAAAGATCTAAGCAGCAAAACAGACAACTCTTCTTGAATAACAGCATTTATTGGAGCAATGGCAAACAAGCCAGAGGTTTTCTCCTCTCCAAAGGGCCAAGGAGTCCCTCTCTCCCCAGTGCTGCCCACACAGCCCTTTCCAGTCTGCTGTCTTCCAAGCCCCCAAAACTGCTTTGCTGGTCTCTGTCTTCAGACTCAGACTCTTTCACCCAGGAGCTGGCTTCCCACTTGTCCAGGCTGCTTGCCTCTTGTCATGCTGATCTCATTCAGCTTTCTTGGAGCCTCCAGGGTGTCACCAGGGATCCCATCTTTGTTGAAGTGCTAGCAAACCTATTTAAATCTTTGTGGATGCTATGGTTCCATTTTTTCATTCCACATGTAGACATCTCTGGGACTTAGCCCTTTATTCCCTGTGCACAGGATAATGAAGTGAACACAACACTATAACAGCCTGAAAACATTTAAAACAGAAATATTGCAATAAAAACCATAGTTCATCAAACCAAGGAGCGGAACTTTGCTAAAAGCTGTGATGCATAGTAAAATCATATCAAACATTCAGTGAGTTTAATATAGACTTTATAAAAGTTATACGTAGTCTTCAGACTACTATGTCTATCTATAAGGATTGAACCTATATGAGGTGGGATTATATTCAGAATCCATGGGAAAGTTAAAGGAGTTTCCTGCAGCAACTAAAGTCACCAGAGAGTAATTTGTAAATTCAAACATTTTTGCTGAGGTTTTAAAATCTGCATAGGAAATGGTGATGCTTAATTTCTATTAATTTTTATGGGAATCAGTTGTCCACATTTCATAGTGGTCTTTGAAAGTGCCAGTATTTCTCTTTAAAATATAAAGTGAAATGAGGTAGTTGACATTTGTGAAAATCGGATATTTGCTTTCTAGGAAACTATTCCTTAGACACAGCTGCAAAAGGGAAAGAAAATTAAATTACCCAAGAAACATTAAGTTTACTATTTGGCTCTCCCTTTCTTAATTGTTTGTTTTAAAGAACCATTCCTTACAATGCTTTTCTTAATAGAATAACTGAAATAAAACATTGCTGGAGTCTAACTGTGGCCAATCAACAATCATACTTCAATTTATAGTTTATCACACTAGTACCGTTCTTAATCTTTCGAATAATTCAATTACCTGCAATTATGCATAGCAACATACTTAAATCTGCAGGTGGAGGCTAGGGCTTATGAGTTTCCCACCAAAGGTCCCCAAAGGGACCAATATCCTCTTACTTAATTGTTGATGCAGTACATTAAATACTGAATTGCTTTCTTCTTCTATGGTAGTTCTTCTACAACTGGGTTCTCATACATTGCTAATCCCATCCCTGAACAGAAGCTATGTAGGTACCAGTTTTAATAAAATGTAAGACTATAACTATTTTTTCAGCATTACAATATCAGTGTTGAGTTTTATTAAAGGATCCAAAAACAGGCAAGAAGATAGGCAATAGTTCAGGTAGAAACTGCTCTCTGCAGAAGTCAGTAGCACTTCACAGAACTCTAATATTGCCTGTATCTGATAACTAGCAGCACTGTGATGAACAGAAGGAGAAAAGAGTGTTAGTTTGTATACAGTGCTTGATTTACTTGCAGTTAACATATCTTTATAACCTCCAGTAGTCTGCAATCAGAGAATCTTCTAGGACTCAGGAGATGCCTAGTCAGCAACATGACAGTTAAAGTTGAACAAGAGAGAAATACTTCTGGAAATTTAAAGTGACCAGATTTGGTCATAAATTCCTGGAAATCTGACTCAGTGCTATGTATTCAAATATAAACTGCTTTTAAAATCAAACTGTTATGGAAAAGAAAAATATTGGGCATGTTTTCTTTTTATTTTCATAAAATCCCTAACAAAAAAGAATAGCTGAATGGAATCTACTTCTTTTAGTGTCCAGAGTTCAATAATGTCTGCTGGAGATATTCCTAGAAACCTCTCTTTCTTAGCCATGGATTGCTGTACGTTTCTTTCATTGAACATTTGCTCCTGATTCTCTTCTCTTGGCATGTCTACACAGTCATTAATGCACTTTTGGTAATCCAAATTAAATTTAATACCCCAATTGTGAGGTACTAGAAAAAGATGCATTACCCTATTTTAATGCACTTTAGTGAAAGCACACAGTTTGTTTGTAATGCTTTAATGCACATTAAAATAGGCTAATGCATATTAAAGTGCATGTGTAGACAGACTTTCTATGGCATTTCATCTCATTCAACTTGTATGTGCCACATTAATCTCAGTCATGATGAAGTGGGGCTTGGCTTGAGGCTTGGACCACTCCTATTTATCTGTGGTGAAAAAGGAAGCTTTGGCAAAATTAAGTAGGCCAAAGGAAAACAACATTTTTGGAGTGTGGAGATTTTATGGGTGTTAGTCTAGAACATGTTGTAAAGGTTAATACTGACTCTGCAGCTGGCAAGATACTAGTTAAATACATTGGGTCAATTTGTTCTATATGTACCACTGGTATAGTCTCATCAGCTTTAATCTATTCCCCTCCTTGCCAGGAAAATTAGGAGCCCTGCACGTGAGGGTTACATAATGTTCCTGATGTGCTTGGATGCTAAGGTCCTTTCTGAGGAACAGTCTGTGGCCTTGAGCTATGACCTTGAGAGTCAGCTTGTGAGGAGAGGGGGAACTATTGATTTCTACTAGGCTTGTTTGCCTTTCTAGCTCACAGCTACATTTTGCTGGTATAAGTATTGTGTCAACGTTCTTCTGCTTATTCTCAAAGAAAGCTCTATTACAGCATTACATTTTTTTTTCTGCTTGATTGGAACAGCAGGCACCAATGTATACGTAATGCATATACTGTAATTGGAGCTCCTTTTAGACAGCCCATTGCGAGCTACCAGAGCCCTTTCCTTTAGTTGTAATTCCATGCTGCAGTGACAAAGAGGTGACCTGCCCTGTAATGCAGTCTACCAAGGGGCTGAATTTAATTTTGAAAGTTTTGGTAGTTCTATAAACAAGACTGTTTCAAAAGGAAAACAGGAATATTGTAGGACATTGTGTAGTTATATTTCCAATCTCCGCTTCTTAGGATTTGTCATAAAAAACCAAAGAACTGGTTTAATAAAATATAAATGAAACACAGACATAGACATCCTGGATAACAGACTACACTGAACCAGACTGTATACCAAAAAGGTTTGGTATAGACTCAGGCCATGAACTAAGTTAAAATGCAACAGTGGCTCTGTGTGCTAGACCTGAAATACCTGGCTTTCATATTGATCCACATTGTTAATTAAAAAACAAAGTTGACCTTGATTCTGTAGAAATGCTTTAACAAAACAAGAAAGGTGTTATTTTAGATTAGACTTAACCAGCCTCCTTTTATGACTTACTTCAGTGGTTAGATTTAGCAATGGGAGGTGTAGAGGTGCACAGACTTTAAAAATATAGATTAAACATGCATGTACTTTGGGGGCTCAGTCTGTCATAAGCAGTTTGAAAAACTGGATGAACTAGCATTTTTATCACTGACTCATGATGTGAAGATCTTTTCATGAAATGTATCTCCAGGTTACTTGGTGATGGATGTTCTTTGAGTTCTGGTGAAGGAAGAGCAGAGAGTCTTTAAAGAAAGCACTTGACATTTACACATGTAGGCCATTCCCATGGTTCCCAAATTTTACTTTTGTTAGATTGCAATAATATATTCATATTCAAACCAATCATTCTGTGCAGGTTACTGTTTCTGCTTTTGTTGCTTATAGCTATTCATCCTTGATCTATAACATTAAGATGACAGTGGGATTCCTCTGTATAAAGGAGTTTTTGTTCTAGATGCTCTCTACACTAATAGTAATGGGAACATTAATATTAAACATATCTTAGTTATGCTGGAAGTTTGATAAGTGCAGCTATTGTAAGAGTTATTTATATCCATTCTGGCAAAGTTTGCCAAACATGGGAGTTTAGTGTCTTGGGCATTATGCATGGTAGTTGTGTGTGATAGTTGTTCCCATAGTTTTAAAATGCTCAATCACAAAATCTGGCCCATGGAGCCATGTAATCCAGTTTATGGATTTTCTCACAGGTCTGGAAATTTGGCAGTGGCGGAGTGGTGACAACTGAAACTATCAGTACACTGTCAAATTTCCAAGCCTCACATGGTTGGAGTTGCTGCAGTTGGGCATTCCTGAATGGTGATATTGGGCCTTGTTCCCATATGTCTGTACTGAGCCAGGGTCCAATGCAGCCTTGCAGAAATGGCTTGGGGCCCTGATGCAGTCACATGGGATCAGGCCCTGGCTAGACTGTTCCCACATAGCTGTATTGGGCCATTTCTGTACAGCTGGATGGGGCACCAACTGGGCCAGCAACATGCACCAGATTGGGCCCAAAGACTAGATCTGGCCTACAGGCACACCTAACCCTATTTGTCTGGCCTTCAGACCAAGAAGGTGGGGCACCACTGGATTAGACAAACACTTGTTTAGGATGGTTTACATTGGGATGATCCTGCCTTAAGCAGGAGATGGGACTTGATCAGGGATTGGCAACCTATGGCCCATGGGTCAGATCTGGCCTATCAAGCCATATTATTTAGCCTAGAGCTGGAGAGCTTCAGTGATGTTTCAGCAGCATGGGCCTTCACCTGGGTGGTGGGGAGAAGTGGCAGTGGTGCCATTGCAGAACAGAGTAGCAGCTTCAGCTCTGACTCTAGTGGTGTTGGCTGGGTTGGAAGTAGACCATGCTCAAAGCTAAACTGTGTTAATGGCTCCCTACTGTCAGATTTTGATCACCTTTGGACATGGGCAATGTGTAGGAGGGGGTTGGGGGGGTATGTGCTCCCCCTGAGATTGTCCACTGCTAAAGCCACCACTGGCTTCTGCAGGCAGTTGCTGCCAGCACCTGCCCCCCCCCACCAACATGGTGGGTGGCAGCTGTAGGCAGTTCCTGCTTGCCACTGCCACTGCCGAAACCACTGACAACAGCTGCAGACAGTTCCCACTCACTGCTGCTGACACCATGGGTGGCAGCAGCAGGTAGTCCCTGCTCGCCACTGCCAACACGTCTTGCTGCTCCTCCCAGCTTGCTGCTCACTGCCATGGTGCCCCCCCAATCACAGGAGGCACCAGTCATTCATGCCCTTGGACTAGATGACTATGTGAGGTCCCTTGCACGACTACTTTTCTATATTGCTGTGATTTGCAATATGTTAGTGACAGCCTAAGAGCAGGACCCTGGTGTGCTACTTGCTATACAACTATGTAGTAAGAAAAATTCTCTTCCACAAAGAGGTCACCATGCAAGTATACAGGAAAGGCCAAGTAAGACTGATTAGCCATATTTTTCAGATAAGCAACTGAGGTACAGTGAGACACAATGGCTTGTCTAAAGTGACACAGGATACCCAGGGGTAGAAGTAAAAATTGGGCTCAAGCTTCAGAGCTTCCAGTCCAAATCTTAAGAACCAAACCAACATACTCTTTTGGTCAAATGCCTTTAAAATTATTATTATAAATTAATACAAAAGTACATTAAGGATGTTGAAATTGCTGGGAACCCCTGAAGTAGGAGAACTTTCTAATATAATGGGACAAATTTAGCCATGGTATGAGTGGGTGCAACTCCTGATGAATAAATAAAACATGTAGCAACTTATCTTAGTGTTGTATTTGGCCTCGTGGTCCTCCATCCTGAGTGCCTATGATTCTCAGAAGAACACATAATTTCCTTGTTATCATAACTGTGGTTTAACAGGCAGCCAACAATATTCTATCACAAACTCACTGTGAGTAACGTTACTGTATATCCACTTATGGTACCATTGGTGACACATAGGGTACATATGCACCCCCTGAGACTGGCCATGCACCCCCTGGAAGCGCCAGCCATGAAACCGGAAGTGCCAATGGAAGTGCAGTTCTGGTTTCATCGTTGGTGGTTCCACACTTGGCGATCAGCCACTGCCTCTCCCCCTACCCCGTTAACAATCTGGTACCCCCCACCAGACTTGGGAGGCACCAGTCACCCATGTCTGATATTGTTTTTCTGTTTAATGATTAAGCAGAGGTATTTGGGGGAGGGTTTTTTTGGCTGCTTAAAGGCATGAAAGTTTTAGCAATAACAAAACAGATTAACTTTGCAAAATAGGATTTTTATTAGGATTTTATTTTGTTTAAAGAATAAAACTTGGGATACTAGTCCTTTTGTTCTCCATGAACATTCTGGAAAGAATTGTAATGCCTGATTCTGCTATTACGGCTATTCTGCTATCCCATCATTTCAGGCTGCATGTGTGTTCTTTGTGGGCCTAACTTCTTGATTAATTGTGGATGAAGCAGATGCCCAGTATGATTCAGTTCGAACTGAATAGATAAAAGAAATTGGAAGCCTCAGATCTGAGGTGCTTGCTCCTCAGTGTCTCTACTGTTTTACTCCTTATCTGAAGGCCTGGAGCCCTGATGAGGCATCAGGAAATAATCAGCATGCTGCTGATCAATTATCTGCTTGCCAGTCTCACAGAATTTGACCTTGACAGAAAGAAAAGCGAGACTAAAAATTATGCCAGTCACCAACCCCTGGTTGACCTGAAACAGAGGGCCAAGTAAAGATTTGAGAGAGCTCAAAGTATGTAAAACATGCAGCATGGCTAGAATATGGAAAGAGGTAGAGGCCAAAAGCTATAAACACAGCTATTTCAAAAATGAACTGAGTGCTTGTATTTGTAGGTAGCACCTGATGGGGGAGAGATAGGTGTGGAGATCCCATGACTGACATGCAGGTGACTGTCAAGAAAATACCTTTTGAAAATAAAGAAACAAGTGTTTCTGAAATGGATTTGTTAAATGGAAGGAATAGAGTCTTTGGAAACAACTTAAATGAGATATTTTCTATAATTAAAAAAAACAATGATTTGTATTGGGATAATGAACCAAGCTGTAATTCAGCTCAGAATCCTGAGTTGTTTAGGCTGCTAATATTCTGGGCTGCCACTGAACAAAGGCATCTAAAATTAACTTATTCTGTAACTGATTTGCCTCATTTATCTTTTAGAAAAAACACCACCTAACCTCCAGAATACCCTTAGCAAAAAGGGGAAAATGACAATGAGGAAAAAGGATGGTGTATCAATTAGTTGAAATTTCAAGGTCTATCTTCCAACTATAGTTATTGTATGTATCATCATTTTCTGGCTTTCAACTTAAAATAGAAATAATAGAATCATAGAAATGTACGTCTTGAAGGGACCTCTGGAAGTGATGGATGAGGCTTTCTTCAAACAGGTAGCAGAAGTTTCCCGATCACAGGCCCTGGTTTTCATGGGGGACTTAAGTCACCCTGACATCTCCTGAGATAGCAATACAGCAGTGAGCAAGCAATCTGCGAAGTTTTTGGTAAGTGTTAGGGACAATTTCCTGGTGCAAGTGCTGGAGCAGCCAACTAAGGGCTGTACTCTTCTTGACCTGATGATCACAAACAGGGAAGAATTGGTGGGAATGTATATTAGATGGCAAACTGGGCAGCAGTGACCATGAGATGATTAAGTTCAGGATCCTGAGGAAAGGAAGGATAGAGAGCAGCAGCGTAAGGACCCTGGATTTCAGAAAAGCAGACTTCAATTCTCTTAGGGCACTCATGGGAAAGATCCCCTGGGAAGCTAGTCTGAGGGGGAGAGGAGTCCAGGAGAGCTGGCTGTACTGGAAAGAAACCGTACAGGAACAAAAAATCCCAATATACAGGAAGACTAGCAAGTATGGCAGAAAATCAGCTTGGCTTAGCAGTGAACTCTTCAGTAAACTAAATCATAAAAAGGAAGCTTATAAGAAGACAAAAATTGCACAAACAACTAGGGAGAAGTATAAGAGCATTGCTTGGGCATGCAGGGATGAAGTCAGGAAGGTCAAAGTGCAATTGGAAGTGAAGCTAGCAAGGGACATGAGGGGAAACAAGAAGGGTTTCTACAAGTAGGTTACTAATGAAAGGAAGATCAGGGAAAGTGTGGGTCCTTTACTGAATGGGGGAGGCAATCTTGTGACAGAGGATGAAGAAAAGGCTGAAGTACTCAATGCCTTTTTCACCTTAGTCTTCACAGGCAAGGTCAGCTCCCAGACTACTGCATGGGGCAGCACAGTTTGGGGAGGAGGTGAGCAACCCTCAGTGGTGAAAGAACAGGTTAGGGAATATTTAGAAATGCTGAACATATACAAGTCCATGGGGCCAGATGGGATGCACCTGAGGGTGCTGAGGGAGTCAGCTGATGTGATTGTAGAGCCACTGGCCTTCATCTTTGAAAACTCGTGGCAATTGGGAGAGGTCCGAGATGATTGGAAAAGGGCAAGCATAATGTCCATATTTAAGAAAGGTGGATCCAGGGAACTACAGACCAGTCAGGCTCACCTCAGTCCCTGGAAAAATAATGAAGCAGATCCTCTAGGAATTGATTTCTAAGCACTTGGAGGAGAAAAAGGTGATTAGCAACATTCAGCCTGGATTCACAAAAGGCAAGTCATGCCTGACCAACTAATTGCCTTCTATGATGAGGTGACTGGATTTGTGGATGTGGGGACACCAGTGGATGTGGCAGGGACAGAGTCCTAGCCCCTACCACAGTCCTGCAGAAACAGCTTGGTTGGCAGGGGAACTCACCTGTCTGGGACCAGACATGCAGCATGGTCAGGCATCCGGGAGAACACAAGTGTTGGTAATCCCAGGAGTGTGGGAACCCATGCTGTGGGGAACTGGCCCTGATTGACCTGCATCAGGCAGTGGGCAGTTTAAAGATAGGATGCCAAGGGAAGTTTGTTGTTCAGCATTCCTAGGAAGAAACCTGACCACAGGCATCAGGGTGGGGAGGAACCTGGAGAAGCAGCCCAGCATGCCGGACCCTCAGGAGCTGCAGAGAGTGAACCAAGCCCTGATGAGAGGCATCAAACCTTTTGCCTGAGAGTGATAAGTAACTGGGGAAAGGAGGGAAGGACAGAAGCCCTGGCTGGTCATCCAGGGAAAGAATCCCTGTAGGAAATGGTTGGGCCAGCCCACCGAGCCAAGACAGAGGCTACCCTGAGGCTGCCAGCATAAAGAATAGAGCGTAGGCTTCTTGCCAGTGAGAGAAGAGCCAAGCAGGGGCTCATTGCCAATGGCAGAATAGACCAAGAAAGGGGGAAATGAGACCTGAGAGAGGTACTGGTTAATATGAGTTAGGAAACAATTTAAGTTAGTGAAAAAGGACCCAGCTGGTGGCCTTACCTTTCGTTTAAATTCCTCCACACTAAGGAGGAGTAATAGCAAGAAGGAGGGAAGGAAAGAACCCTAGCATGTCAATTTGATTAGAGTTAAAGAAAAGGGGGAAGGAATTTACAATCCCAGAGTAAAATTGAAGAGGACTGAGACAGTGGCCTCAGAACCTACAAGGGAAAAACTCCAAGAAATCTTGGTAAGATAATACTTCTTTGATTTCAGGAGAATCTTCATAGAGTAACAGAGCTAAAGAGGAACCAGGATGAGCAACCATGAGCTAAGGGTCAGAGAGAGAGAGAGAGAGAGAGAGAGAGAGAGAGAGAGGCCTGGACTGTCTCCATTCATCATCCACAGAGAACAGTGAGCATCTACCTGAAAGGAAAAGGGCAGGGTATAGGGAAGGTTGGAGCCCTGCAGAAGATCCATGACAAAGATCAGATGAACATGCAAGCCAGAACATTCATCCTCCCAGACATAAATTCCATCAAGGCATGGCAGGAGAGTGTTGGGGGATACCATGTGGTCCGAATCATTCAGCACGGTTCCAAGCAAGAGAATACAACATGCTCACACCTTGATTTTAGCAAGGCTTTTGATATGGTTTCCCACAACATTCTCATAGGCAAGTTAAGGAAGTATGGGCTGGATAAATGGACTGTAAGGTGGATAGACAACTGGCTGGAGAATTGGGCTCAGAGTAGTTATTAATGGCTCAATGTCTAGTTAGCAGCTGGTATAGTGGAGTGCCCCAGGGTCAGTCCTGGGGTCAGTTCTGTTCAATATCTTTAACAATGACCTGGAAGATGGCATAGAGTGCTCCCTCAGCAAGTTTGCAGATGACAAGCTGGGTGGAATAGTAGATAAGCTGGAGGCTAGGATTCAGAGTGACCTAAACAAAATGGAGGATTGAGCCAAAAGAGATCTCATGAGGTTCCACAAGGACAAGTGCAAAGCCCTGCACTTAGGATGGAACAACCCCATGCATTAGTACAGGCTGGGGGCTGACTGGCTGGGCAGCAGCTCTGTAGAAAAGGACCTAGGAGTGATAGTGGACAGTAAGCTGAATATGAGCCAACCGTGTGCCATTGTAGCCAAGAAGACTAATGGAATACTGGGCTGCATTGTTAGGTGTGTTGCCAGCAGATCAAGGGAAATGATTTTCTGCCTCTATTTGGCACTGGTGAGGTGACATCTGGAGTACTGTGTTCAGTTTTGTGCACCCCACTACAAAAAGGATGTAGACAAATTGGAGAGAGTCCAATGGAGAGCAACAAAAATGGTAGTGGACTTTCTGAGCAGAGGCTGAGGGAACTGGGCTTATTTATTTTACAGAAAAGAAGACTGGGAGGGGATTTAATAGCATCCTTCAACTACCTGAAGCGGGGCGGGGGTTGAAAGAGGCTGTTCTCAGTGGTGACAGATGACAGAACAAGGAGCAAGTCTCAAGTTGCAGGAGTTTATGTTAGATATTAGGAAGAGACCTCTGTCTCAGTCCTCTTCAATTTTACTCTGGGGTTGTAGGTTCCTTTTCTGTTTTCTTTTACTCAAATTTAGGTTATATATTAGGAAGAATTTTCTTACTAGGAAGGTAGTAAAATACTGGAACAGAGTACCCAGAAAAGTTGTGGGCTCTTCATCCTTGGAGGTTTTTAAGACCTGGCTAGACAAAGCCTTGGCTGGGATGATCTAGTTGAGTATGGTCCTGTTTTGAGAGGGGGTTGGACTAGATGACCTCCAGAGTTCCATTCCAACCCTAATTTTCTATGATTCTGTGATCTACTCCAGTCCCCTGTTCAAGACAAGGTCATCCCATTCCGGACCATCCCATACAAGTGCTTGCCTTACCTTTTTCCTAAAATTATGCAATCAACCTTGTGGCACAAATACAAAGTACATGCCTCAAAAAAATACCAAGAGCACCCTAGCCTGCCATAGATAAGCAAGTGAACAAAGGCTGTCACTGTACCCCGCCACTGCAAGGGTTGTAAAATACACTTGAGAGATCTAAGGAAAAAAGCCATGCCACTGGCTACAGGCAAAAGCAAAAGCAAAATCCCTCATAGTCCAAGCCAATCTGTCTGTAGAGTAAAATCCTTCCACATCCCAAAGCAGAGGAAGAAAGATTTTTGAACCAGAAACCTCTGGTTTTTTGTCACAGCAGGAATACTAGAACCATTCTAGTGAAATACCCAAGGCTTGGCTGAAGCTAACACACAATGATTCTGAGAAGGGGAACAAAAATATAGCATAATTTAAATGGCGGAGAGAGTTGCTATGAAAGAATTCAAGGACACTTCAATCTTAGGAATTATGACTCAGTTCTGAAGGTTAAAGCACTAAATTGGGATTTAGGACACCTTGGTTTAAATACTAGCTTCACCATAGACTTCATTGCTGAACATGGATAAATTGATTCTGAAAAAATCCATATTGTTCCCTTTGTTGTCTCCAAGGACCATCTCGTATATTACATTTAGGATATGTTAGATGAACTTAAAATGCAAGTGTCCACATTCAAGCAGTAAAACATAAGCTAAATGGAATCATATCACAGCTAGGGATCTACCAAATTCAAGAAGGCAGCTGGCTGATTTCATAGGCAGATCCTGGGGCTGGTCACCATTTCTGTGGGATGAGAGTGGCAGTCCCCCTTCCCCCCACATACCCCTGATTGTCCAAAGGGCCCTGGCAATCCCACCCCTCTCTAGAGATTGCCACATGGCCCCAAAACATAGCTTAATTAACCTAATTAAGACTGGGGAAGCCCTTAATCTATGTGTTATCAAGCTGAGGTTTTGAGCCATCCCCAAGTGGTGGATTCTGGAGGGATTGCTGTGAACCCCACAAAAGCAGGGGAAAAAAAGAAGCAAAGAAGCCCTGTAGTCTTGGAGCATGGTGGGTAGGGTGGAAGGTAGAAATGGGAAGGCAGAAGGAGGGGAGGGGGCAGCAAGCCAAGGGGAGTGCCTGCTGCTAGCTGCCTCCATGTGCACCCCCCAATGGATGGCCAGACAGTGTGGCTAGGATAGACAGCCTGCCGGCAGCTCAGCGCAGTGCAATCCAGCGCAGACTGGGTTCTGCCTCTAGCTCAGCAGCTCCATGCCCTGCTGGACATAGGTATTGCACTTGGCATGGGTTGGGGGCCCCTGTGGCAGGGATGGCTCCTCCTGCACTGCCCTGGCTGTTCTGCATTCTACCTGCTGCTGTGCTCCTGGATGTCACCTGTTGGGAACAAGGTGGGAGCTGGGGTGCTGCCATTTTGCCCCCACTCTGGTTCTACTGCAATTCTGGGGGATGCAGCTGGTCACACCGACTTCTCACCTTTGGCTGGCCAAAGATGAGCTGCTGCTGCCCCATGCCCCTTGCCCCACTCCATGCCACTGCTGCCCTGGCCCAGCCTCACTCAGCACAGCTGTCAAGAACTTGTGGCTCTGCCACGCTCTGTGGCTGGCTCTGCCCACACCCTGCTCCCCATCTCTGCTTTTGCCCTCCCCCACATGCTCTAAGACTGCAGGGCTTCTCTGCTTGCTGGTAAGTTTTTTCTTTTTTTAGCGAGCCTGGCAAAAGTGCAGAGCCAGCACTTTTTTGCAGAGCCCACCTGAATTCCGTTTCCATGAAAATTGTACAATCACAATTTTGGCAAGTCCCTAATCATAGTATTTATGACTTTTTTGTGGGAAGAGTATCTCTAGATTGCATTGAGGAACATCTGTTCAGCTATTGGCAGACTGCTCCACAGAGATAATACTAGTTCAACAATAAGAGTTCACCAATGGCATGTGGGGGCTGGGACTGACAATCAACTGAGAGCACACAGC